GTCTAGTCTATAGTCTAGTCTATAGTCTAGTCTATAGTCTAGTCTATAGTCTAGTCTATAGTCTAGTCTATAGTCTAGTCTATAGTCTAGTCTATAGTCTAGTCTATAGTCTAGTCTATAGTCTAGTCTATAGTCTAGTCTATAGTCTAGTCTATAGTCTAGTCTATAGTGTAGTCTATAGTCTAGTCTATAGTCTAGTCTATAATCTAGTCTATAGTGTAGTCTATAGTCTAGTCTATAGTCTAGTCTATAGTCTAGTCTATAGTCTAGTCTATAGTCTAGTCTATAGTGTAGTCTATAGTCTAGTCTATATCTAGTCTATAGTCTAGTCTATAGTCTAGTCTATAGTCTAGTCTATAGTCTAGTCTATAGTCTAGTCTATAGTCTAGTCTATAGTCTAGTCTATAGTCTAGTCTATAGTCTAGTCTATAGTCTAGTCTATAGTCTAGTCTATAGTCTAGTCTATAGTCTAGTCTATAGTCTAGTCTATAGGTAGTCTATAGTGTAGTCTATAGTCTAGTCTATAGTCTAGTCTATAGTCTAGGCTATAGTCTAGTCTATGGTCTAGTCTATAGTCTAGGCTATAGTCTAGGCTATAGTCTAGGCTATAGTCTAGGCTATAGTCTAGTCTATAGTCTAGTCTATAGTCTAGTCTATAGTCTAGTCTATAGTCTATAGTCTAGTCTATAGTCTAGTCTATAGTCTAGTCTATAGTCTAGTCTATAGTCTAGTCTATAGTCTAGTCTATAGTCTAGTCTATAGTCTAGTCTATAGTCTAGTCTATAGTCTAGTCTATAGTCAAGTCTATAGTCCAGTCTATAGTCTAGTCTATAGTCTAGTCTATAGTCTAGTCTATAGTCTAGTCTATAGTCTAGTCTATAGTCTATAGTCTAGTCTATAGTCTAGTCTATAGTCTAGTCTATAGTCTAGTCTATAGTCTAGTCTATAGTCTAGTCTATAGTCTAGTCTATAGTCTAGTCTATAGTCTAGTCTATAGTCTAGTCTATAGTCAAGTCTATAGTCCAGTCTATAGTCTAGTCTATAGTCTAGTCTATAGTCTAGTCTATAGTCTATAGTCTAGTCTATAGTCTAGTCTATAGTCTAGTCTATAGTCTATAGTCTAGTCTATAGTCTAGTCTATAGTCTAGTCTATAGTCTAGTCTATAGTCTAGTATAGTCTAGTCTATAGTCTAGTCTATAGTCTAGTCTATAGTCTAGTCTATAGTCTAGTCTATAGTCTAGTCTATAGTCTAGTCTATAGTCTAGTCTATAGTCTAGTCTATAGTCTAGTCTATAGTCTATAGTCTAGTCTATAGTCTAGTCTATAGTCTATAGTCTAGTCTATAGTCTAGTCTATAGTCTAGTCTATAGTCTAGTCTATAGTCTAGTCTATAATCTAGTCTATAGTCTAGTCTATAGTCTAGTCTATAGTCTAGTCTATAGTGTAGTCTATAGTCTAGTCTATAGTCTAGTCTATAGTCTAGTCTATAATCTAGTCTATAGTGTAGTCTATAGTCTAGTCTATAGTCTAGTCTATAGTCTAGTCTATAGTCTAGTCTATAGTGTAGTCTATAGTCTAGTCTATAGTCTAGTCTATAGTCTAGGCTATAGTCTAGTCTATGGTCTAGTCTATAGTCTATAGTCTAGTCTATAGTCTATAGTCTAGTCTATAGTCTATAGTTTAGTCTATAGTCTAGTCTAGTCTATAGTCTATAGTCTAGTCTATAGTCTAGTCTATAGTCTAGTCTATAGTCTAGTCTATAGTCTAGTCTATAGTCTAGTCTATAGTCTAGTCTATAGTCTAGTCTATAGTCTAGTCTATAGTCTAGTCTATAGTCTAGTCTATAGTCTAGTCTATAATCTAGTCTATAGTCTAGTCTATAGTCTAGTCTATAGTCTAGTCTATAGTGTAGTCTATAGTCTAGTCTATAGTCTAGTCTATAGTCTAGTCTATAGTCTAGTCTATAATCTAGTCTATAGTGTAGTCTATAGTGTAGTCTATAGTCTAGTCTATAGTCTAGTCTATAGTCTAGTCTATAGTCTAGTCTATAGTCTAGTCTATAGTCTAGTTTATAGTGTAGTCTATAGTCTAGTCTATAGTCTAGTCTATAGTCTAGGCTATAGTCTAGTCTATGGTCTAGTCTATAGTCTAGGCTATAGTCTAGGCTATAGTCTAGTCTATAGTCTAGTCTATAGTCTAGTCTATAGTCTAGACTATAGTCCTGTCTATAGTCTAGTCAGATTGTCTTAAACTTTGTATTTTAGGGAACTAAGTTGAAACCATTTCTAAAAATTCGTTCTCTTTATCTGATCTACGACGATAATCACAGTTTACCTCAAGGTCTCCGAGTGGAATTGTACTTTATTATGGTATTCTAACGTAACCCTTGGTCAATTTTACTTGATTTTATGGAATCTAGTACCTAGAAATTTACAAAAATTTTTATTTTAAATATATTTAATATGAAATTAATTATAAAGCTTTTTAAGAAAACTTGTGTATTATGTTTTAAAGATACCCTACTTTTTACTTTATCTAATCAAATTTCTTTTGAAATTTTTCTAAAACCAACCTCGTATAATATTGAGCATATATTTTGAGATATAAATTTTTAGTTTATGGTATTGTATGTAATTATTTTATAACCTTTTAACAGAAACACAAACACACTATTATTCTTCTCTTTCAAATATTATGACCCTTTCTTGTCTTTATTTATGTGTAATAATTGACTTGGTTTGACTAGCTGGCTACCTGTTAAAAAAATCCAAAATTGTTAATCATCCTAAATACACACACACACAAACAAGAGCCGAGGAGATATGTGCAAGACAGATAAACAGGAATGAAGAAGATTAGAATACTACAGATTCAATTTGGAAAATATACCGAACGCATAACTAATAGTATTTTAATTACTTCTTGACCACAGTTTTCTCTCTGGGGTTCAACGAAACTATTTTGCATAAATATGTTAGTCTACTATCAACAACATTCCAACTTAGATGTTAAAACGAGTGTAACAAATTTAATTTGAGAGAAGAAAAAAAAAAAAAACAAGTTTATAAAGTGAAAACTTTATTAGTTATTTTAAAAGGAAAATTATCATTACATGATTAACAAGTATGCAATCTCGACACCTTCATCAACATTTTCAAACAAACACCACATAATCAATATACAATATTTCTTTTTTTATTATATTTCAATATAAAAGTGATAATGACACTGATAACAGTAAAATTAAAAAATAAAATTAATAAACAAACCAACCAAGCGTGCAAAGTGTTTGACTTAATTTTTATTAACTTTTTATATATTTGTATTCATTTCTTCGTTTCTTCTCTTACAGCGTGAACCGATTTTCTTCTTTATCATGCGCTTAAATTTAAAAGCTGTCCTCCTGCTACTCACCGTTGCCGTGGTGGTTATAACCTGTGCCGTTTATATGCGTTGTGCTGAATTTACTTTTCCCCATGATTTGGTCAAAAGATGGGATCGCAAATTGTATGCCGTTGGCGGCAATAGTGACTTACTTAATAATAATTTAGGCGAAGGTGGTGGAGGAGGAGGAGTGGGTGTGGATGGTGATGTTAGTGACTTAACACCCCTGCAAGATATAGAGTGCCTAATTAATCAAGAATATACAATACGTTGTAAACGTGATGAAGAAGATCATGAGATCTATGTACCATTTTCATTTATACGTAATTATTTTGATATTTCGGGATCGATGAGTAATCCCTCCTCACCACAAGCTATAGAGGGTAATAATGATGTACAAGTGCCAGCAGCCAAGTTCATGTGGATGCATAGTACGGCAAAAATAAATTTACCCAAGGGTAAATATGATCCCCGGGGATTGTTTATGTATTTTGAAAATTATAATGTAGAGGTAAGTAGAATGAAAAATGTCATTTTTTTTAAATATTAATTTTCTTAATTTCTTGTTTTAGGTACGTGATCGTGTTAAATGTATAAGTGCGGCCGATGGTGTACCCATTAGTACACAATGGGAAAAGCGCGGCTATTTTTATCCCACACAAATAGCCCAGTTTGCTTTGTCACACTATAGCAAGAATCTTACAGAACCAGAGCCTAGAATAAGAGTATGTTTTATTTTAGTTTAAAGATTAATTTAAAATTTATTAATAAAATTATTTTCTTTTATCTCATTATTAGATTCTTGAAAATGCCGATAATATGCTAAATACTTGGTCTATACCAAAAGGCAGTAATCTTACACGCAAATGGCATCCGAAATTCAACTCATCTGTTATACAATATGAAACTGCCATAGATTTTGATAGCGCTATAACACTTAATAATATAGATCAAACTTTGGACTTAGTTTTAAATATAGATTTATTGCTTATTACCAATAGCAGCAGTCTAATGGTGACGGTAGAAAATCACGAAACAAAACGTACTTATCGTGTTCACTATATACCAGCCGATCTGCTGTTAAGTGTACAAGATGAGAATATTTACTATGGCCTCAGTGTACAGGCCCTTAATAAATGGCGCCATTTAACGCGCGATCTTCATATCGATGTTCAAAAGGGCCTGGCAATGGAGAGTCCCAAAAAGTCTGGCATTAAAATTAAACGTTCAGAATTACGTATTGTGTCGATATCTTTAATGGGTATTGGTTTCTTTGACAATATTACTTTGTCGACGTATAATCATTTGGCACATTTCTACGATGCTGCCGAATGGTTTGTTAATAATCAAGATCTACGTACTGGTGGCTGGCCCAATCCAGTGAGACGTAGTTTAAATGGATTTGCTGAATTGAGATCCGGTTGGTTGTCTGCCATGGGTCAGGGTCATGCTATATCAGTATTGGCGAGAGCCTATTGGCATTCGGGCGGTGATAAAAGGTACTTAAAAGCGGCGTCATTAGGTTTGAAGCCTTATCGGGTATTATCGAAAGATGGTGGTGTGCTGGCACAGTTTATGGATAAATATTATTGGTAAGTAGGAAATTAGTTTGTAAATTTTTAAGTTCGAAAACGAAAAAATGATATTTTTATGCATTGTCATCCTTAAAGATTGTTTTAACAGCTTTTAAAAATTTTCGATCTTATGTTCAAATTTTCGTAATAATTTTTTTTTTTTAATTTTCGAACATAAGTTCAAATTTTATTTAATCCTAATAATATTCAGAATTTACATTTAAAATTCTTTGAAATTCGTTAAAATTTTTAAAAAATTTTCGAACATAAGTTCAAATTTTATTTGATATTAATAATATTTTGAATTTACATTCGAAATTCCTGAAAATTTTGAAATAATTTTAAAAACTCTTTGAATTGGAAAATATAAAATATTCGAATCGATTAAAATTATATTTGTATGTATTGTCATGCTTTTAAGATTAAACTTTTAAAACTTTTCGAATATAAGTTTAAATTTTCAAAATTTAAAAAAAAAAATGTTTAAAAACATTTTCGAACATAAGTTCATATGATATTTAAGCTCTAAAAGCATATATTTTGAAATTACACTGAAAATATTTTAAATTCAGGAAAATTTTGAAAATTTACAAAAATTTTAAGTTCGAAATTGAAAAATATAAAAATATTGGTGTCGAATAAAACTTAAATTATATTTTTAAATTGTTATGATTTAGAGGTTATTTTAACAGCTTTTAAAACTTTTCGAACAGTTCAAATTTTCGAAAACTCAAAAAAATATTTAAAAACATTTTCGAACATAAGTTAAAATTTTATTTAAGCTCTAAATGCTTATATTTTAAAATTACTTTGAAAATAATTTTAAATCCATGAAAATTTTGAAATTGTTTTGAAAATTTTTAAGTTCGAAATAGAAAAATATAAAAATAGGTATCGAATAAAACTAAAATTATATTTTTATATAATGTCATGCTGTACACATTATTTTAACAGCTTTTAAAACTTTTCGAACATAAGTTCGAATTTTCAAAAACTCTAAAAATGTTTAAAAACATTTTCGAACATAAGTTAAAATTTTATTTACCTCTAATAAAAGCTTATATTTTGAAATTACTTCGAAATCCACTTTTAAATCCATGAAAATTATGAAATTACTTTGAACATTTTTAAGTTCGAAATTGTAAAATGTAAAAAAATTTTGCCTCACATAAAACTAAAATCATATTTTTATGAATTGTCAGGCTTTTAACAATTTTAAAAGTTGTTAATAGCTATTAAAACTTTTCGAACATAAGTTCGAAAATTCGAAATTTAAAAAAAAATATTAATATTAAATGAAAAAATTGCCTTAAATAAAATATGATTATTAAAGGACTTTCCTACTTTGACAAAAATTTATCTAATATAAGTTCGAATTTTCGAAATTTAAAAAAAATAACTACGAAACTGATTTCGAACTGTATTTTCGAATTTTTAATATGAATTATAGATATTTTTAACAGCCTTTAAAATATTTCGAACTAAATTTCGAAAAAATTTCGCACAACAGAAAATTTTCGAATATAATTTGGAACAATATTTTTAAAGGTTTGACATGATTTATAGTTTTATATAACAACAATTTTTGATTTTTTCTAAATCCTCATAAACTGGATATTGTTTTAAAAACTTTAAAAAATGTCTTCGAATTTAAGTTCGAACAGAATTTTCAAATTTTAAAAATGAATTCTAAATTATTTGAACAAAGCGAGAACAGGCTTATAATTTAATTCCGAATTTAGTTCCTAAGATTTCACAGATCCATAAACATTTTGTTAACGTCTATTACCACTCTTTACAGGTATGAAGAATATCCTACAACTCCAGCTTCGTTTGTTTTAAATGGCTTCATTTACTCCCTATTGGGTTTATATGATCTTAATTCTACGGCTCCCTCAAATATTGCCAATGAAGCTGGTAAACTTTTCAATCAGGGCATGATATCCCTTAAGAAAATGTTACTTCTATACGATACTGGCTCTGGTACTAGTTACGATTTGCGACATTTAAGTTTAGGCGTTGCGCCAAATTTAGCACGTTGGGATTATCATGCTACGCATGTTAATCAATTGCTACTCTTGGCCACAATCGATTCGGATCCAATTATATCACAGACTGCCGAACGTTGGAAGGGTTATATGTTTGGTAAACGAGCTAAACACAATTGAGTATGTCTGAGACCGGGGAGCAATACTGTACGCCGTTGCCATAAATATAAGCGCACAAAAGAAACTCCCTTGGTTTCGCGATAAAAACTACTGTGACAGCTACTACCACACTGGTTTACTAAAACTACTAGTACTCCTCTTCCTTTAAAAGAAAAGAAAAAAACAAAACAAAACAAACATTGAAATGAAAATGTTAGAAAAATAAGTGATATTTGCACATTTGAACTTAAGTATTGTTATTTATTTTTGTACTTTGAAAACAAATCGAAACAGAAAAAAATTTAACTTTCCTAAAGTGAATTTTTTTTTTAATTTAATTTTTTATTTTAGAATTTATGATGAAATCTATGTTCTTGTCTTTTTATATAAATAAGTATAATACCAAGAATACTGTTATAAACAGTATTTAAAAAAAATCTTTATTAGTATTAATTAACATTTTTTTGTTTGTATTTTTTTTTTTTATTTTTTATATATTTTATACATTTATGTATAGTTTTTTTTTTTTTATTTATGTATATTTTTATTTATATCTTTTGAAGTATAATTTCGTCTGTATTTACTAATGTATTTGGTGCTGTTTTTTTAGTTTTATATTTTTATTTTATTCTCTGCTTAATGATAAAAAACAATGTACGTACCTTTTTATAAACTTATATACACGAATAGTAACAAGATTTTCTTTTTTTAATATTATTATTATTTTTGCCATTTACATTTTTACTATTAACGAAAACAAAAACTATAACTTTTCAATACTTTAGCTTTAACTCTAATAAGTCTAAATTATGGAAATTTTTTGTAATAAAAAAATGTATACCTACAGGTTTTTGAAAAACCTACAAACATATTTATTAATATCTATAAAAAAACTAAACTGTATTTTCACAGTATCAATTGCAAAACGACAAAAGAAAAATAACTATTAAACTTAAATGAGATAAAAGAAAACATATAGAAAACTGTTTTTAAGAGATTTTTTATACGGATTTTAAAAAACTACACCATTTATACATGCTATAGGAAAGACCTTTGAAGTTCTTTTAGTGAATTTTAGTTAACGCTGTTTTTATCTTCTCTGCGAATGCCCTGCTCTAGCCGGTAAAGAAACAGTTTCCTTGACAATTTCTTCATATCCAACTTTGGTAAGATATCTGGGTCAAAACTTAATGATCTACAGAGATTTCTAAAGACTACGTGACGGATCAAATACTACATGTGGCGAGTGGAGTAGTGCTGTTAATACGGACTCTATTTGATGTTAGTGCGCAGTGAACTACTACAATAACTAAACAATTTTTTGAGGGATAATAGACTAGACTAGACTATAGACTAGACTATAGACTAGACTATAGACTAGACTATAGACTAGACTATAGACTAGACTATAGACTAGAGTATAGACTAGACTATAGACTAGACTATGGACTAGACTATAGACTAGACTATAGACTAGACTATAGACAAGACTATAGACTAGACTATAGACTAGACTATAGACAAGACTATAGACTAGACTATAGACTAGACTATAGACTAGAAATAGACTAGACTATAGACTAGACTATAGACTAGACTATAGACTAGACTATAGACTAGACTATAGACTAGACTATAGACTAGACTATAGACTAGACTATAGACTAGACTATAGACTAGACTATAGACTAGACTATAGACTAGACTATAGACTAGACTATAGACTAGACTATAGACTAGACTATAGACTAGACTATAGACTACTAGACTATAGACTAGACTATAGACTAGACTATAGACTAGACTATAGACTAGACTATAGACTAGACTATAGACTAGACTATAGACTAGACTATAGACTAGACTATAGACTAGACTATAGACTAGACTATAGACTAGACTATAGACTAGACTATAGACTAGACTATAGACTAGACTAAAGACTAGACTATAGACTAGACTATAGACTAGACTATAGACTAGACTATAGACTAGACTATAGACTAGACTATAGACTATAGACTAGACTATAGACTAGACTATAGACTATAGACTAGACTATAGACTAGACTATAGACTAGACTATAGACTAGACTATAGACTAGACTATAGACTAGACTATAGACTAGACTATAGACTAGACTATAGACTAGACTATAGACTAGACTATAGACTAGACTATAGACTAGACTATAGACTAGACTATAGACTAGACTATAGACTAGACTATAGACTAGACTATAGACTAGACTATAGACTAGACTATAGACTAGACTATAGACTAGACTATAGACTAGACTATAGACTAGACTATAGACTAGACTATAGACTAGACTATAGACTAGACTATAGACTAGACTATAGACTAGACTAGACTATAGACTAGACTAGACTAGACTATAGACTAGACTATAGACTAGACTATAGACTAGACTATAGACTAGACTATAGACTAGACTATAGACTAGACTATAGACTAGACTATAGACTAGACTATAGACTAGACTATAGACTAGACTATAGACTAGACTATAGACTAGACTATAGACTAGACTATAGACTAGACTATAGACTAGACTATAGACTAGACTATAGACTAGACTATAGACTAGACTATAGACTAGACTATAGACTAGACTATAGACTAGACTATAGACTAGACTATAGACTAGACTATAGACTAGACTATAGACTAGACTATAGACTAGACTATAGACTAGACTATAGACTAGACTATAGACTAGACTATAGACTAGACTATAGACTAGACTATAGACTAGACTATAGACTAGACTATAGACTAGACTATAGACTAGACTATAGACTAGACTATAGACTAGACTATAGACTAGACTAAAGACTAGACTATAGACTAGACTATAGACTAGACTATAGACTAGACTATAGACTAGACTATAGACTAGACTAAAGACTAGACTATAGACTAGACTAAAGACTAGACTATAGACTAGACTATAGACTAGACTATAGACTAGACTATAGACTAGACTATAGACTAGACTAAAGACTAGACTAAAGACAAGACTATAGACTAGACTATAGACTAGACTATAGACTAGACTAAAGACAAGACTATAGACTAGACTATAGACTAGACTATAGACTAGACTATAGACTAGACTATAGACTAGACTATAGACTATATTATAGACTAGACTATTGACTAGACTATAGACTAGACTATAGACTATAACTAGGCTATCGGATTGTCTATAGACTGGACTATGGACTAGACTATAGACTACTCTGTAGCCTACATGCTGGTCTATTAACTACTATGTGGACTACTTATCAAAAGTTTATAAATTGGAAAAAGATTCTATGTAGACCGATTCTCAAATTTGACAGAGATTTCAGTTCCTAAAGAACTTGTTTAATCCGAATTGCATACATATTTTCGTAATTCAGACTTTCGCTCGTCATTTCCGTTTCGCATATGGGTAATCAGATCTCAGCCTTCCAAAGTTTTACGTTTCACTCCTGCTCCTTAGTGGTATAATACTGTTAAGAGGTGTAACTTAAAACATCAAACAAATAATTTGATGTATTGTGAATACAAAAAAAAAAAAAATAAATTTCAAGAAAATCGGAAATATGTATTTGAAACTGTTGCAAAAACTATACTATAAAGGTAGTTATAGTGAACCTAACCCAGTCGATTTCATATGTAGTAAATTTTTTTGAATTTTTTATTGTATCCAACTGGGTATTATGCGTTTGTGCTGATGTTTGTAATATTGGTCGTATACCCACCTTAAAGTATACCAATCGGCTCAGAATCACTTTCTGAGTCGATTTAGCTATGTCCGTACGTTCGTCTATCTGTGTGTACATGTAAAGCTTGTGCTCATGCCAGAGGTGATAAGATAATTAGATGAAATTTGACACATATACTTCTTTTGACACAATGACAAGGCCTATTGGAATTGGTTAAAATCGGTCCATTATTTCGCCTAGTCCCCATACAATCGTTCGAACAATACGTTTAGAAATTACAGAACTAAATATTTTTCTTTAAGTTTTATCTATCCTCACAGAGAACCGCCTGGGTTGAATTCAAAAACACGTCATGTTTTTTTATGTTTTGTTAGCGGATGTATAAGTTTCCGAATAGACCGAACAAAAAAAATTTAGCCTTTATTTACATGATGGTTCTAAACTGTTCCAAATTTATATTATCTGTTTTTTAAAAAATGGTGTAGTTTTTACTATTTAAAATCTTTAACTAAAAGATTTGTTTAATAAATTGTTTGTTCATATCAAATCATTTTCTACTTTTTTTTTAAACTATAGAAAGCTTAAAACTTTTCTATTCCTATTTAATTTTTTTTCTATAATTTTTAATTAAAGCACATTTATAATATATTAAAAAAAAACAAAAACTTAAATTCGTTGTTAAATGCTGTGTAGTTTTTATTGTAGTTACGTAATGAAACGTTTCAGTAGTTAACGTTAAAAAAATAATAATCTTTTAATACATATATTATATGAAACTAAATTAATTGTAATACTAATTATAAAAAGAAAAAAAATTAAGGAATTTTAGAACAATAAATAAATTTTGTAGAAATTATAAAACAAGAAAATGAAAAACCCAACAGAAAAAGAAAACCGATGAAATAAAACTAATTATATATAACGAATTTTCTAAACTCTAAAATAAGGTGGTTTGATTTTGAAACACTTTATTAAACAATATTGTGGATTGATGTGGTTTCTAAAAATCATCAAGGTAAATATTCAAATTTAAAATTATTAAAAAATTATAAACACAAATTTATTTTTGTTACAATTTATTTTTATTTGGTTACAGCAGTTATTAACAATTTATTTTTTTATAAATTAAAAAAAAGAAACTCTCTCGTACAGTCTTTGGTCATCATTTATTTGTAGTTTTTTATTTGAAAAAAAAAAAAATTGCGGCGGTTTTAATTTGTATATTTATAAAAACATATAAAATTTAAAAATGTATTATTTAACTTAAAAAAACATAAAAAATATTTAAAAACAAAACACTGTAATATCTCGTTACATTATTAAACAAATTATTTTAATTCTTTAATTCTTAAATTGTGAATACTCCTATTCAAAGTAGACTTTTAAAACTAAAAAAAATTCTTTTAAGGTCAGGATCGTCTTGAAGTTAAAATGTGTGATTTGATGGAAGCATCTCCGAAACGTTTTTTAGCCTCAGTTATAAAAGCATTTTCCATTTGATCACATATCAAATCAAAGAATAAATTTGCTATATTACTATGCAGTAAAGATTTAAATTCAAACGAAACTTTGAAATCCAATACACAAGACTGTGGTATATCTTTTAAACCGGGACTAAAGCGCCATTCGTTTAGTAAATAATTGAAGAGGCGTCCATCTTTGCATTCGGACGTCACTAAGTTTGGATATTTTAATGTAACATTTGAGGTATAGATTTCGTTAAGTGGTGGAAAGCCTACAATAAGATCC